TTGTTTTCTCCTCCAGATTGTTCATCCAGCCGGTCTTATTTAGACAGACCTTAATGACAGAGCTTTCATCGCAGCTGCCCACAAGCAAAATTCAGGTATTGGTTCTGCCTGGTCGGTGAGGACCGGCTGAATCCCACCACGGGTGACGGGTCCTCCACAAGGTTGTTATTGTTGGGTGCCTTTCAGTGAGCCCCCACTCGTGGTACCCTTGTGCACAACAGAAAGAAACACTGTCAGCCCTGCCCCATTCTCACAATCGCTGGTATATTTGAGCCCATGGTTGCAGCCACGTTGTCCAGCCAGACCCTTGAGGGCCTCTTTCTCACGGACCCTCTACTTTACCAAGCATGATGTCCACCAGAAACTGGTCCCTGTGGATGACATGTCCAAAGTTAGTAAGACCAAGTCTCACCATCGCTCATCCAAGGAGCAGCTGGGCTGTATTTCTTCTGAGATAGGCTTGTTTCTTTTCCCGGCAGCCCCTCCTGGCGTGTCCGGTGCTCTTCCGCATCACCACCGGTCAAACGCATCGTCTTCCGCAGTCTTCTTTTTCATTGTCAGCTTTCCCAGGGATAGGAAACAAACACACAAACACACACTAGACTCACTGCCGCTGAGTCCATTCCGACTCACAGCGACTCCACAGGACAGAACTGCCCCTGACGGTTTCCAAGACTGTAGCTCTTTGCAGGAGTAAGAAGCCCTGCCTTTCTCCCTGGAGCGGCTGCAGGCTTGAACTGTTTACCCTGTGCTTAGCAGTCCAACACTAACCATGGCTTGAGGCAAGTGCACCTTAGTCCTCAAAGTGACATTTTTTTCAAACTGGGGTTTTTCTCTGTTTCATCTTTTAATTCTTTTTATTTTTTGCAACCACTAGCACCTGTTTATTCTTATTTTTTAAATCATTTTATTGAGGCTCTCACAGATCTTATCGCATTCCATACATCAATTGTATCAAGCATATTTGTACATATGTTGCCATCATCATTTCCAAACATTTTAAACCACTTTCAAGAGGTCTTTTGTAGCAGATGTTCCCTGTGAAATATGTCATTTAATTTCTTCACAGCTGCTTTCTCATGCGTGTTGATCCCAGTAGAATGACATCCTTGACAACGTCAAAGTTCCCCCCATTTGTCATGATGTTATTTGTGGGCCACGAGGGTCGTGGGGATTTTCTTCCGCAGGGTGAGAGGGGCCAAACCTGAAGGTGCTGAGGATTCAGGGGGTGGGGGTGGCAGGTGTCACAGGGACTTGGGTTTCCTTGCCCTGGCGTTGACCTTGGTCTAGCACACCTCTCTCAACCAGAAAACCAACCTCACTGCCATCAAGTTGACGCTGACTCACAGCAACCCTATAGGACAGGGGAGGACGGTTGCTGCAGGTTTCTGAGACTGCAACTCTTTATGGGAGTAGAAAGCCTCATCTTTCTCCCCCAGAGCATCTGGGGGGGGTTTCAAACTGCTGACTTTGGGGTCAGTGGCCCAATACATAACCACTGTGTTGTATTGGTTGGAGGTCAGCTGCTTTGGGTCAGGGTGAGGGTCGGAGAGATCCTCTCCACTGGCTTCTTTACAGGTTGGGCCTTGGCTTCTCTGCCTTCCTGCTTCAGGAATGGCGTATGAAGCTGTAGAAAGCCGGAGGCCTGCAGGCCCTCCCTCCTGGCCCTCCTATCTGCCTTTCCAGCATGCTTGCTACCTCTCTGAGAGCCTCAGTGGGGCTTCCCAACAGCCACCAGACTCCCTGGCACTTCCCTTCCACCCTCTGCTGGTGGAAGTCACAGCAGGAAATCCTCCTCAGGGACACATGTGTCCTGGACCGCCCCTGGGGACGTGGACCTAACGTGACAGTGGGTGTCACAGATCCAGCACCCACCCCCCCCACCGCCCCCACACCCCAGGGTCTCGCCTGGCACTGACTGGGGCTGAGATGTCATTGGGAGTTAGAGTTGTGTGTTGGATCAAAGAAAAGGGGGTGGAGGCATGACAGGGCCGAGGGGGGAGGCACAGCTCAGGATAGGAAGTCTGGGTCTACCTGGTGGGCGCTGTGGAGTGAGCGGGTGGGGAAGGACTGAGGTGCTCCGTCTCCTGGCCTCATGTCTGCCTGCTCCTTTGCTGCTTCCAGTCCAGTGCAGTGCAGGGTAGCCCTCGGCCACAGTGGAGGGTCTCTGGTGGACAGTCCATTGTGGACAGTCTGGTGGACAGTCCCTGCCAATCGGGTCTCCTTCCTCCAGGCTGCCTGCAGAGAAGTCTGCAGGCCTCCTGGTTCTTGAGGGCATGGGTTCCCTCTCTCCAGTGACCCTCAGGGCTCCCCCGCATCCTGCTGAGTCCGTGCGTTTTGAGGTGACAGGGGTTGCGGAGTTTCACTGAAACGCCGTTTTACCGCTCATCCCTCTTCCTGTAGTTTTAGGGTCTGTGCTTGAAGGCGCGGGTCCTCTTTCTGACAGAGTCGCTCTTTGGGTGGGGGTGGGCGTGGGATTTGTGGAGAATCAGGGTTGGGGAGCAGCCTTTGCTCTAACCTGGGTTCCAGGAATCAAAGCGTCATGTCCAAATCACAAATCCTGGAGCCAGGAACGTCTGACGACCAAGGCCCCCCTGGCAATGAGCAGAGAGCCTTGCTTCCTGTCTACCGTACACCAGGCTGAGACCCCTAAGTGGTCAGTGGAGTTGCCCAGTGCCCTGGGAACATGTCTGCTGGGGGTCCTGGAGTCAAGACCCCCGGGGTGGCCCCTGCTTTGGGCACTGTGACCTTTTGAAGCCATGCCCCGTAAGGAAAATGTTGGTGCAGGACTGCTGTGCCTCTGCCCAGGGACACCAACCGTCAGGGAGGGACCAAGCCAATGGCCCATTAGTCCTAGGCTCACACAGAGGGAGCTGCCCAAGGAGGACGCTGCCTCTGGCAGGGGGTGCAGCACCTCCTGGGCACAAATCCTGCAGTCTCAGCAGCTGGCCTGGGCCTCAGAGGGAAATGTCCCCATGGCTGTGGCTCCTGGCAGGCGGGGAGCTGGGCTGGCGGGATCCGCAGGCACTTCACCTGCTCAGACTCATCAGCCAGTCAGGGCTCCTCTGGGGGCCTGGTGGCAGTGTGTGTGCGTGTGCATGTGCGTGTGCGTGTGCGTGTGTGTGTCACTGGGAGCTACACACAGGGATGAGGGGAACTAGCTGTGACTACTCTGGGTAGAGAATGGGCAGGGGCTAGGAGAACCCGGAGGCCCATGAGTGGCCCAGCCTGTACCTTTGAGCACTCAGCAGGCCCACACCCACTGCCTGGATGGAGGTGAGGAGGAGCTGGCCCAGGGCGTGAAGGGTGTCGGGTCCCCACGGATGGGAGCTCATTAGCTATGGACAGGGAGGGATTTGGTGGGCTTCTGGGTGCCTGTGTGCTGTGCACCTGTGCCTGAAGGAGCTTGAGCCCACGGGTGCAGGTGTGAGCTTCAAGTCTGTCTCTCATCACCTGGCCATGCCCCACCCCCCAGCTCCCAGGGGCCCAGCTCCTCTGCTCACTGTGGGGGAGGTCAGGTTTCTCAGAGAAACCCCAAAATAGTCAACCACCTGGGACGGGGAGGGGGGGCGGGGGGGGGGCGACTTGGTGTTCGCTTGCAGCCCATTACCTTCCTATCTGGCCCTAGGGGCTGCTCCACCAGGAGATGCAAGGGTGCACTTGGCGAGGTGGATCTCATGCTGGCAGAAGGAAGGAAGCACAAGCTGTGTGTGTGTGTGTGTGTGTGTGTGGTGGGGGGTCCGTGGAAGGATGGGAGCCTCCAGGGGAATGGATTCAGGATTCAGGTGGAGGACGACCCTGCAAGGCAGGAACAGCTTGTGCGAAGGCTCTGAGGACCATCTGAGCCTCACTGCCCTCTGCTCCCGGCTGGCCCTCGGTGCATGGACCCCTGGGAGGGCAGCGGCTGAGGTGTGGCTGGTGTCCCCTGGCTTTGGTCCAGGGCCCGAGGGGGAGCTCTGGGACCAGGGGTGTCCAGGCGGAGGACGGCCAGGGAGAGGCTGTGTGGGGAAGAGCTGAACCCATCCCATAATAGGGCCACAGGATCTCCCCGGCCATAAAAGGCTCTTGGAATCTGGACCCCAGGGACCCCAGGCAGCTGGCCCCAGCTAAAACCCCACAGCCACCCCTGCCTGTGTGTCCTGCCCACAGCAACTGTGCCACTACCCCTGTAGTGCCCTCGGCAGCCACAGACATGGTAAGACCCCAGACTCCAAGGCTTCCAGGTGGCTGGGTGGTGGTCTGAGCTAGAGCAGGGACCGTGTAGTGGGAGGGTTGGGCAAGCCCTTAGGCCAGTGGTTCTCAACCTGTGGGTCTCGACCCCTTTGGGGGTCGAACGACCCTTTCACAGGGGTCACCTAAGACCATTGGAAAACAAATATTTCACAATATATAATTACATATTGTTTTGTGATTCATCACTATGCTTTAATTAGGCTTAATTATGTTCAATTTGTAACAGTGAAAATACATTCTGCCTATCAGATATATTTACACGATGATTCATAACAGTAGTACAATTACAGTGATGAAGTAGCAACGAAAATAATTTTATGGTTGGGGGGGTCACCACAACATGAGGAATTATGGGTCGTGGCATTAGGAAGGTTGAGAACTACTGCCTTAGGCGAAGGGAAGGGGCCTAATATATACAGGGGTGGTGGGGCGGGGGTCTCCCTGCGAAGCCCCAAAGGGCCCAGTAAGGCCTTCGATCCTGACTGGGCCAGAACAGTCTTTTCGGAAAGCTTGCCCATGACCCACCTCAGCAGTGGTGGCCAAGCCCTGGTCTCCCCATTTTGCCTGGAGCAATTGCCCCACCCCTCCTCTGCTGCCCCACCACCTCCTGCTGGGCCAGGCTGCCCCTGAGCTAGTGCCAATCGCCCTCATTCACTCTTAACCACTTGTACCCCCATGCTGCCTGGTATGGGGACCTCAGCTGTGTGTCCAGGCCTTCATCCCTGGCCCCTACCTCATTTGCTCTCCTCGAATTAAACTGCCCCTGTGGACCTGCTGTCCCCTGACACTCACTACAGGGGCCACCTTCCTCTGACTGCGCTCTGGCTGGGCTGGAGGGCTCTCTTTTTAACCACACACTCACCCAATTAGATGGGTAGGGGCACTTTGTCCAGGTCCCTGGCTCATCCCTGGACAGAGGGCAGCAGAGGCTTGGCTGGGGCCCAGAGCCTCTGGTGAGGGAGGCAGTGTGTACCCCACAGACGGAGCGCCTGTCAGCCGAACAGCTCAAGGAGTACAAGGGGGTCTTCGAGATGTTCGACGAGGAGGGCAATGGGCAGGTGAAGACGGGCGAGCTGGAGCGGCTCATGAGCTTGCTGGGCATCAACCCCACCAAGAGCGAGCTGGCTTCCATGGCCAAGGACGTGGACAGAGACAGTGAGGCCAGGGAACCTGTGGGTGGGGGTGTGATGGACGTGGTGGTACCCACAGGTGGGGAGGGGGAGCATGGGTGGGATGGGAGACCAGCCCATTCCTCACGTGGCCCTTGCAGACAAAGGGTTTTTCAACTGCGATGGCTTCCTGGCGCTGATGGGCATTTACCACGAGAAGGCCCAGAACCAGGAGAGCGAGCTGAGGGCAGCCTTCCGGGTCTTTGACAAGGAGGGCAAGGGCTACATCGAATGGAACACGCTTAAGTATGACCATGGGGGCAGCTGGGGAGGGCTGGGCTGGTGGGTGCTGGCCAAGGCTCAGCCCAGTGTGGGGGCTGGGGACTGGCAGGTATGTGATGATGAATGCGGGTGAGCCCCTCAATGAGGTGGAGGCGGAGCAGATGATGAAGGAGGCTGACAAGGATGGGGATGGGACCATCGACTATGAGGGTGAGCTGGGGGATGGGCAGGGGGGTGGGTGGGGGGTGGGCATGGCCAGGCCAGGCAGCTGACCAGTTCCTCTGCCCCTAGAGTTCGTGGCCATGATGACCGGAGAGTCCTTCAAGCTGGTCCAGTAGGAACAGCTGTCATTCTGCGGGCGGCGACCCAACACTGCTCTCTCCCCACCCCCACCGCCGGCTCGGTGTCCAATAAAACGCCTGTCCTGACTTTTGCTCACGTCTCACTGTGTGAGGTGGGGAGGGGTGGTGCCTTCGAGGAAGGGCCTGTGAGGGTAGAGGGGTCCTCAGACTTGGACACTTCTGCTCAGATGCCTGGCACCCCTCCTGATTCTGGCCACCGGCACTCACAGCGGCTAGAACTGCCCCTCCGCCCAGGGTCCCCCTCCCCTTCCCAGCCCTCCCTTCTCCACAAGAGGCTGCTTAGATACAAACTTTATTCTCTTTCCAAAAAGCTGTAGACGTGGTAGCCGGCAGGGTGCTCCCGAGCTCGGGCCAGCCGGGGTGGCCAGGGACTGGGGCGCAGCAGCTGCCTGCCCGGGGGCGGGTGGGAGCCCCCCACCCCAGGCTGTTACATAGCAACGAGGTGGGCTGCAGCAATGTGCTGGACACTGGCCTTCCCAAGGGGAAGGTGGAGGGGACGGGCTGGGGTGGAGGTGACACGCCAGGCTCCGGGAGCATGAGGTGGGGGCAGGCTTTGGCTCAAAGGCTCCGTCGTCCCAGAGTGCGCTCAGCCCTGTAGGGTGCCAGGGCTTTAGTCGGGGTGCTGGGCACTGGGGGGCCACCTCCAGGGGCAGTGGAGCAGCCCCTAGACCTGAGGCCCCAGGGAGGGGGCTGGACTTGGAGAGGGGCTTCTGGAAAGGGGATCTGGCCTCAGGGAGGGGGCTGGCTCTTGGTGGCTGGGCTTAGCTGTCTTGACCGCCTCGTCGTAAGAGGGTGGTGGCTCCAGGACATACAGGCTGTAGGCAGGCGGGACCATGGTGTCGGGGTCCAGCTCCCAGAAGGGCAGGGGCAGCCTCATGACCAGTGGGTACTGCACCGAGCTGTAAGCTGGGGGATCCGGGAGCGGGTGAACCAAGGCCCGGGCAGCCTCATGTCCCACCCCGGCAGGTGGCCCCAGGCTGTGAGGACTCACAGGTGACTGTGCTGTGTGCAGGACTGTCGCTGTCCACAGAGATCACTGTCAGGTCGCTGGGCTGCCGGGGGGGCAGTAAGTGGGCCTGGGCTTGTGCCTGCTTCCGGAGGCAGCAGAATCGCACACAACTGGCTGCGACAGCACACAGCAGCAGCAATAGGACACCAAGCAGGATGATCCTGGTGGGAGGAGCAAGGCCCTGCCACTGGCTGACTGTGGCCACTGGGTCCCTGCTCCTCAGGGCAGGCATGGCCACACTGCCCAGGACAGGACAGGTGACAGGAGGAACTGAAGAACCAAGGTTCCTCTAGGCTGGCCGAGCTGCCGACAGGCCTGTTTGGCCTCCCACTCCTGGACAGCTGTCTCTCCAGGGCTGGCCAGAGATGGCCTTGGGCTTACTCCCAGGACATACTGTCCCTGGTGGCTGCATAGTCCTTGTGCCCAGATGCCTGAGGACAGGGCCTCCCAATGGGTGAAGGAGGAGGGGGAGGAGAGGTGTTGGAGACTGCAGGGAAAGAGGCTGGGCCAGCTATCCAGTCCACCTGAAGCTGGGCTCTAAGCTTTGAGCTCACCCTGGTGCCGGCCGCAGGAGGCCGGGATGGCCACAAGTGACAGGCTGGCCCATGGGGGTCTGGCGGGCCTGCCCCGCGGGCGCCCTCCCCGCCCTGGCTGCCCTCCCCGCGGCCCTACAGCTCGGAGCCTGCACTTACCCCACGTACCACAGGCTGCTCCAGCGGGCCTGGGGCGGGCACCTGCGGGGACGGTGGCACCTGGAGTAGGCGGGGCACTGGGCGCCGACCTCACAGCCCGACCCCTCCCACAGGCGGGGCCGGCACAGCCCGGGCGCCCAGGACCCTCCCCGCCGACTTACACGTCCGAGTTGTCGCAGCTGTCGTCCGCGAAGCCTAGCGCCACCTGTGGGGACAGTCGGGTGAGCGAGGGTGGGGGCTGACCCACCCCATGGGGGTCCACACCCAGCTGCAGCCCGACCCACCTGAGGCAGCGGCCAGAGCAGGAGCAGCAGCAGGAACCCACGAGCGGCGGCCGGAGCACCCAAGGCCATCCTCCGGGACCGGGGGCCCGGCGGGCGGGCGCCACGCCGCTTTATGGAGGGCCCGCCCTGGAGCCCCGCCCACGGGGAACCGCCCGCCGACCACGCCCACTTATCCCCGCCCCCAGAGGCCCTGCCCAATGGATGCCCGCCCGCCCAATGCCCCGCCCAATGGCAGCCCCTCCCCACGGTCCCACCCCTACTTCTTAAAGTCCCTGCTCACTCTGTTCGGACCTGGAGGCTCCGCCCATGAGAGGCCGGTGCCTCGGAGGTTCCACCTTCAGAGGCCCCGCCCCAGATTCCTGTCTGTCCCCGCTCGCTCGCAGCCTAAGTCCGCCCTTCTACCTGCCGGACCTCCCTCGGGGGTCGCAGGGCCGGCACACCGCCAGATGGGCGAGAGAGGTCCGTCTTCAGGCGACTCGGGCGCCCCCGAGGCCGCCCCCGGAGTGGTGGCGAGCACAAATATATGGAACAAGGCGTATGGCCACGTTCATCACAAACTACTCGAGGTTAACAGTGGAGGCAGGACTCCCTTGTAGTGGTCCCCTGGCGCCTGTGGAGCCCTCGCCTGGAGGACATGCCCAAGCGCTGGGAAGCTGGCGGCGAAGGATCCGACCCCTGGGGTCTAGGAGCCAGCCTCTGCTTGTGGCCGCTTGAAGCTCCACTCTGCCTAGACCCTCTGTTTCATTCTCCTGGGGGTGGGGGTGGGGGTCATTTCTTCCCACACCTGCACATGCTAGGCCTGGCCAGGCTCTCCCAGGCTCCCTGGGCTCCTCCTGGTCAGGCTAAGGAAGTGGGGCCTGTATGGAGCAGCAGGTGAGCCGATCCCGTCTGGGGTAGGTGGGCAGTAGAACACCCCACCTGTGTATCCTCTACCAGCCTCCCCAAGGGACCTCCTGCTTTGCTCCCTTTAAGGGTGGATACTTGCTAGGCTCCTGCTTCCCCTTGCCTCTGTCCAGAGCTGCACCCTAGGGCCTGTTGCTGCCCCCAAGAGCCCAGCCCAGCCCACCTAGTTCCAGGCCTACCCTCTTCTGCCTGCCCTGGGCTTGGGCTTCAGGAACCAGCACAGGGGGAAGGGAGGAGGAAGTGGTTGCAGCTGGGAGGTCGAAGTGGGACAGCAGAGGCTGCACCGGGAGAAGCACCTGAGGCCCAGGGCAGTTAGCAGCAGGACAGCAGAGAGTAGGGGGGTGGGGGGGGACTGGAGTCTCTGAGACTTGTGCCCTGGGAAGGTCCTGATGCCAACCCCTCCACACCTTCTGGGAAGGGAAGGCTGTACAGGCTTGGTGGCAGTGTGGGTAGGTGGGGACTGGCACAGGGGACCAGACACAATGGCTCAGCCTCCAGAGAGCAGAGCTCATGGGGTGGGTGTGGGCACCATGTTGACCCCCAGGGAGCATCCTCCCCTGGACAGGGTGCACCAGCCTTGTGGAGACCCCAGCCAGGTGCTGCCTCTTTGCTGAGGCCCCATTTGGGCTCTGGGCTAAGGACTTAAGCAAGGGTGTGTTTCTGACCTTTGCCAGGGGCATCCAAGGGTCCTACACCTTGAGTGGAGCCTGAGGTCCAGGCGGCAATCTCTGGGCTTTGGAGCCCCCTGCCCAGCTCTCCGCCAGCCTCCCTTCTGGGCCTGCCTGCTGGGTCCCACGTGTTCCAGGCTGGGGACACCCACACACACACCTTGGCACTTGGCAAGACAAACCTCTGCCCCCTACTCCTTAGTCTTCCTTCAAGTGATGTTGTGCTGCCTGTGTGCACACCCTCCCACCCCCAGGACTCTACCCCCACGGTCTTGGCTTGGCTCGCCCCAAGGAATGATTTGATCACTGAAAGGTGGTAGCTCATGGAGGTTTACTGGGCAGGGCTGTTGGTGGTGGCCCCAGGGGCTGAGAAGGCTGCCCTGTGGCTATATTGAGGGGGCTGGCAGGTATGTGCTCATGAATGTGGGTGTATTGAGGTTCTGGTGTGGGGCAGGGGCCTGGAATCCTGGGCTCGCTGGTGCAGGATAGCAGGAGGCTGCAAGACCTGGGGAGGTTGGGCTGCCTTACCCATTTGGACCTGCTCAACAGGGGGTGGTCAGCCTCTGAGGAGCCCCGCCTGGCCCAAGGTCACAGCCGAGGGAAAGTGCTTCGAGGGAGGCGAGCAGGGCTGAGAGAGGGACTCTGTCTGAGGAGCAGCTCCTGTGTTTCAGGGGCTGGTCACGACCTGGGCTACCAAGAGGACCTTGTAGGTTTCTTTCACATCCCCTCTGAGCAGCAGCAGAGCTGACACCACAGGTGGATGGTCAGGCTGGAAGGGGGAATAGGGACCCTGAGCCACAGGGTACCCTGGGCATTGCCCATGGGCCCCCCTGCCACCCTGGTGCCTCCCAGCCTACATCGAAGTCAGCAGTAGGCATCCAGGAGATGGTGATGGTCTTGGTTTGCCCGCGCTCCACGAAGCCCCTCGAGGGTTCTACGGTGAAGCCCTTGTGCTGCAGGGCTGGGACGCTGTCCAGGCTGAACTCCACGCTCTGTGGGGGAGGGGGCTGGTGGGATGGGGAGCATGCGGCTCCCACTCTGCTCACCTCACCTGACCTGCCTCTCAGGAAAAGCCTGGGCCAAGGCGAGGGGAGGTGAGGGAGGGCTCCCAGGGCAGCACAGGGCAGGGCCACCAGGCGGAGGGGCTGCCACCTTCTTCTGAGAGAGCTGGGAGGTGCGGATACAGCCCACTTGCAGCTCGCGGCTGGCTGGAGGGGATGGTGTGGGGGTGTCCAGTTGCAGGTACTCCAAAGTCACCAGGATGGCTCTCGTCTCCTCCGTCTCTGCGGAGGGAGGGGGGCCTTGTGTTCCCGTGAGCTCACAGGGTCAGGGGCACAGAGGCGGGCGGGTGTCTTCCCCCTCCCCTGACGGGTCTCACCCTCTCGGTGCTCCTGGTCGAAGGCGGGAATCACAGCCAGGGACTCCACAGGCACATCCAGGGGGTCCCCGCCCTCCACAAACATCATGTGCTCGCGGGCTGCGCCCTTTAGGAGGATCTGATGGGAGATGGTCTGGGGACAGAGGCCGTTTCTTCACCCCCCCAAGGGTGAAGAGGCCGGTTTCTTCACCCCCCAAGGGGCCCCAGCAGGTGGCAGGGTGGGCGGGCTGTGTGAGAGGCATACCTTGTTAAAGAGCACCACCTGGAGCCGGTCCGAGTAGTACAGGCTCTCGTGGTCCGGGCTGAAGGTCACGGTGAAGTCTTGTGCCTTCCCGGGGTCGATGACGCCTTCAACCGGTATCACGCTGAACACGCTCTGTCCGTTCAGGTTCTGTGTGCCTGCGGGTGACGTGCGAGCCCGGGGCCCTGGGCGATAACCCTTTGGCCTGGGCCCACTTGGCCGCATGCCCCTCCCCGCTTCGCCCCTCTCCTCCCTCGGAACTCCTCTTCCCCCCCATCCTCCCCTCCCACTGAGCCCCTTCCACAGCCTCTCCGGCCCAGCCCTCCAAGGACCTCAGGGCCCGCCCGTTACGCACCCACCACGTCTGTCCGCTGGACAGCAGAGAGGAGGAACTGGGGCAGCTGCTGCCGGTCCTCATTCCGCCTGGGGGACAGGCTGTCCAGCTTCATGGAGAACTTGATGGGGAGCGTGGAGTAGTTCTGCAGCTGCAGGTGCGGGAGGGTGGGGGGCCCACCTGTGCCTCAGGCTGGGGCCAAGTCGCAGCCCCCACAGCACCATGCAGTGGCTCCCCATCCCACCCCACTCCCTCTCTCGGGAGACCCCCTCCGGGAACCACGCGCACAGGGCGGGCACAGGCTCTGGGAGCCTCTCCTGGGCTGAGGGCCCCAAGAGAAAGTTGCAGCACAACCTGAGGGTGGAGGGAGGAGCTCCAGGCAGGCAGTGGCCGTGAGTGGGCCGAGCAGGATGGGCAAACGGGGACCGGGAAGGGAGCCCCCTCCCCACCACCACTTCAGGCTCCAACCCTCCTGGCCCTGCCCCGGGGCCCTAGGTGGGAGAGAGGTGTGAGGCTGGAGGCCTTGGCTGACCCCAGGGCAGAGCGCTTCACCTTGAAAGTGGAGGAGACAGACTCCCTGGCTATGACGTAGCCCATGTTGAGCACGTCCCCTTCAATAGAGCAGACAATCACGGAGGCGACACCGGTGCCCAGGAGGGTGAGGGTGAGCTTGCCCTTGGTGGTGATGATGTCCAGAGTCTCCTGGGCCTGTGGAGATGAGACCCTGCCCTCAGCAGGAGGCGCATGCCCCTTGTCCACCGGGCACAGTGTCCTGGTGCATGCAGGTCTGACCTGCTCAGCTGTGGCGGCCCAGAGGGGCCAGGACTCACCACGGAGCTCTCTTCGGGCAAGAAGGACAGCCCCAGCGCCTGGATCTCGCCCGCATGCAGCTTGCTGAAGGGGTTCAGTATGATGAAAGGGCCGAGAGGGTTCAGCAGGGAGAACTGCACCTGAGGGCATCTGTCAAGGACGGGGCTGGAGGCGCTGCCTGGAGTGGGACGCCCCACCCTGTGTGATGCTCTTCCATGTGGGCCTTTGAGGGGAAGGATACAGTCAGGTCCTCAGAGGAGATGTTCTGGATGGAGATCTTCTTCATGCCTCGGTGCCCTGAAACACAGGGGCGCGGGCGGTGACCTGCGTGTGGGTGAGTGCCAGGGTGGTGGTGACCGACTGAGAGTGAACAGAGGTATGGGTGTCGATGACCTGGGGGAGGGTGGGTGGGTGTGGGCCTGGGAGCAGGCTCAGGGGACTCACCGACGGCCACTTCTCCGAAGTTGAAGATGGTCTTGCCTCTGTCGGATATCACAATGATGGCCGGTGCCACTGTCGGACACCACAGCTCCAGGTAAAGAGTGTTGTGGGGGCTGGTGCCGGGATGAGGACCATACCAAGGGTAAGGTGGGGTGGGCTGGGGCAGCCCCGGGGCTCTGCTGCCCACCCATCCCAGCCCGTACACATGCACCTGAAGCTCAGGGTCTCCCCCTCCTTCCTGTCCTTGATGTCCCCACTGGCAACGACGCAGGGGACCACAAACTTGTCAAACTTGCCTCCGAAACTTCTGGTCAGGGTGGCCTGGGCAGCCTGATACTCTTCACAACTGTAAGGAGCCAGGTGTGTGTACTTGTGTCAGGGTGTTCACAACTGTAAGGAGCCAGGTGTGTGTACTTGTGTCAGGGTGTTCACAACTGTAAGGAGCCAGGTGTGTGTACTTGTGTC